GTTCTTGTTTTATTTATTCATTTTTATTTTATCAAGAACAGAACATAATTAACAGTTTAATGTCAAAAATAATTATGATACAGAGTATAAGCAGATACGATCATTGTAACTTTGAACAGTGGCTTTTCAAGCCTTTCATTTATAGCAAGTCACCGTCTGCGCGCGCGCACGGTTAAGTGGACGCGCGCGCAGCTGTCCGCTCGCTCCCGACGCGCGACAGATGGAGTTGCTCTGAGCTGGAGGGAGTTCGGGTTGAGATTTCTGTGGAAAAAACGCGAAGGAAACTCTGGATTTCTTGCTTTTGTCTGCGATGAAAGCTGAACAGGCTGAAAATGGAGAAAACCCAACGAACTCGGTGAGCGTGAGAAAGTTGGAGCCACGACTCTGTTACTAACACAAGAAAGGACAAGTGTCTTCATGTGTCTACTGACGATCACACTAACCCCCTCTGTGTTGTGTGGACAAAAATAAAAAGGAAAATCTAACCACTAAATCAGCCTTAATTCATCTGACATCTTATMTCTTGTCTAAAAAGGTTTCTCTATTTTGAGAAACTTCTTAGTTTAAAATAACTGAAGAGAGCTTGCCAAATAACCTTCATTACAGCTTTTTGAAAACTAAGTTAAAATAGGAAATGCTTCACACAAAAGACACAGATTCAGGGTTATATTTGTAAATAAAAATAAACTATGTCATCCTCATGTAATTAAAGGTCAAGCATTCCTTGAACTGCATCGCCTTCCAACTTTCATCCCACTGTAGACTGAGATCATCTTATGTTGAGAAATGATCAAGTCATTGTAGYCTTTTAAAATGATCCACATCTCCTCACTCTGTTATCATGTGAGTCACTGTGAGCTACGACTGCAGCAAAATGTAGCTCAAACTTTGCTTATAGAGAAGCAGCCATGTTTRGTCAGTTATCTGGTGGGTATTTTGAACATATAGTGGAGCCTAGTTCTTCCAGGTCACATGTCCAGTAAAATACTGAGGTTGCTGTGAAAACCCCGTTCGAATTGTACAAATTCAACAAGATTAAAACACAGATTTATAGCTTAGATCAGTGTTTCCCAAAGTTGGGGTCGGGACCCAAAGTGGDGTCCCGAAACATCAAGGTGGGGTCCTGAAAAGATTTTCTGAATTAATGACATTTTTGCCTTAGTTATTACAAAGGAGTGAGGTTAGTATATTTAAAATGGATAAATGTAGCATAAAAAATTGTTACTATGCCCATGTTTAGTTTATCATCCAAAAATAGTTGGGGGCACAGGTCTCTGCTACTGTTATTTTGTGGGTCAAAATCTGAAAAGTTTGGGAACCACTGCACTTCGGTTCCCTAAGTTGGGCTTGGGACCCAATTATGGGTCATGAAGCACCTTGGATAATCTCCAGAAATCAATTTAAAGGGTAATAAAATAATTGCTGACAAATCTTTTCTCTATAATTATTACAAAAACACAAAATAAGTATGAATAAGTTTTTATATTTGTGTACAAGCTGTTTAGATTGTCCAAAATCCTGTGTTTTTAGGGTTATTTGAGAAGTTTGTGTACTCAGACCAGTAATATTTGGGGTCACAAGTTTTTGCCATGAATATTTTGTGGGTCAGAAGACAAAAAGTTTGGGAACCACTGGATTAGATAACGATGAAAAAACTCATCTATGAGCCTAAAAAACAATCAGTTTAGAGCAAATACATCAGGTCTGTGTAACGACTTAGGTTAGGGGTTAATGGCTGTCTTATAAGTTGCACTCCAAGTATGTGTTGAGGGCAATGCTCAGCTACTACCACACTAAATCTCAACATCTGCAACATTGGCTGAGTTCTTGAATTTAATAACACTTCGCTGTGGCGGCCATTTTCAATCAGAAAGGCTCCAAAAGTTAAACTGTTCTAAATGCTTATCCGGTTGTTCCTTTTGGAAAGTTTCATTAATACCAAACCAAAATTATGAAATATCTCGTTATTGGTGCAGACCGATGAACAAAACGAAGACATGGTCAAACATATTATCTTTCTGTCTTCTTCTGTGGCGAGTGACTCACTCCAGTCCAACCAGTCTTTCAGAGCATTTTCATTGAAATCAACATCTTCATTAACAACCAACAAAGCTACTCCTGTATCAGCAGGCCGTTGTAATTACACAATGTTGGGTTCTGTCTTTTAGGGTGTTGCCTACAGTGGAGGTTGTGCGACTGTAAGATCAAAAAATGAAAGCCTTTCCTTCTGTTTTCTGTTTGGTATTGGTGTTGGTTGTGTGTGTCTGGGTAAAACAGGAGAGGCACCCAGTGCCCGGTGGCATGGTGAGTGGAATGATAAACAGAAGCTTGTGCTATCCATGTCAGTGGCCTAAAATAGAGACTAACCAAGTGGGTCTCACATTGCCCCCTGGACTCCATATAAGTCTGCCCAGCCTGATCTTGCCTCCTGTGTGTGTGCGTGCGTGCGTGCGTGCGTGCGTGTGTGTGTGTGTGTGTGACTGCTGTCGGGACAGCAAGCTTTTTATAGCACCTCTCGCCCAGCAGAATTGTGCTATTTATTTTTCTTACTGTGTGCGACTCTAGGTGTAAGGTTTGTGTTTATAAATGTGGAGAYTGGATGTTGGCCTGTTTGGGGGTTGCTTCAGCAATTTTCAAATTAGTGCAGAAACAAACAGGTTAAACTGTTGTGGTCGATGTGCAAGAGTGCACAGCTGAAAAGGAAACATTATRCAACACTTCTGTCTGCATAATATTAAGAAAATGTGTTATATTTTTATTTAAATGTTAGGATATTACAGAGAACATTGCATTATGTTTAACTTCTAATGGTTAAATTAACCTCTCTGCAGTACAATCATTTTAAAAAATAACTGCAAACAGCTGTCTTTAAATATATTTAAATTGTTTTTGATGATTTGTATGGAAAATTAAGTTATTTATTTCTRTTTTTTTATTGCCAGGCCAGTCAGGGGGACGTCGGACATGCAGTGGGTCTGCTAACAACACAGCCTACAGAGGTGCAAGAGTTTGCAGAGCCACAAGAGTCAGGGTCATCTGGGGGAACCTGGGAGGGCCAGAAAGGTATGATTTATGTGACAACACAAATACAAACTGAAACAAGATGGCCAAAGTMACAAACTCAACGTTATGGGAAAAACATTGACGTTAAATAAACATCAGAAAACAATCTTAAATTGTCTGCATGTTCAGAATAAATGGTTGCAGCTAAACTCTATAAAGACATTTTAATTAGGAAGGATACAAYGATGCTGCACCAGCGTACAGTAAATCTGCAAACAGGAATTGTGCTAATTACAGCAACAGTGCCGTCTGTAAGCAGCTAAATTGTGTTTGTTTATCTGTAAACAAGCAACACGAGATCGATTTTTTACCACTTGCATCCACGTAAACATAAAGAGTGACATCTCTGATTTGTATGACAAAAACAAAAATTTCTCTAAAAAATATTTTGAGTTAAAGGGGACATATGCAGAATCCTATTTTTATTTTTTTAGCCATTAAACACATTTTATTGTACTTGGAGTGTTTAGGAGTGCAGAAATACTCTCTCCTTGTGTTGTGTAGACCTTTATATTCTGTTTGGGTCACATTTTTTAACTCGTTTAATTATTTTTATGTTTTCTGAACTGTTACATCAAACCATTTGCAACAGAACCTCTGAAGCTTCCTTTTACACGGCCCAGCCCGTGTGTGGTTCCCCTCGGTTCGGCCTCAGCCAAATGTCTCTCTATTTCCCGTTCCAACTGCGTCTTCAGAACCACCTTGTTCTGTGCGTGGACTGGCCGCACCAACTCCTCCAACAAACTCTTCCTGGAGAGAGGTGAAGGAGACAAGCGCGCACAGCTTGAGCTGGACGGAGCAGACAAACTGGCAATTACACACGCTCTTATAAACAGTGTCGGGACAGATTACTGGACCATGGTAATGGTAATGGTAATGGTAATGGTAATGGTAATTGGGGATGGGTACAACCCAGGTGAGCGGGGGCCTCGTAAGTGGGCCCATTGCTCTCCCCAAAAGATGCTGGGCTTTAATCAAACCTTTTTGTCCCTCGGATGAAGGACACCAGGTTAGAAACCCTCAGTGTTCTAAGCTTCTCGGGATCCACAAAGGGGTCTCCAAGAATT